CTCGGGGAAGAATACATCATGGTCGGTCTACGAAAAACGGGTTGGCAGTCGTGTTCAAGCATAAAGGAATTGATCTGGCGATGCAACTCAAGATCCGTCATCGAACTTAGAGCACGTATCCAACCAAAGTGAGACAGCTTAGCCTGCATTAGCCCTGCATTAGCCATAGGCTCTATGTCGTCGCCACGCTTCGTAACCCACCTCCTTGGCTGCCTCCGCCTGCTGAGGCTGAAGCGGATTGGCGTCCACTGACGATTGAGACGCACTCCGAGTGCCTGACGAGCGTCTTGCTTTCTGTAGACTTTCATTTTCCCTGCATCACGAAAGGACCGAACCATTACTTCACGACTGTAGGCTTACTCGACGTCTTGTAGAAAGGTGCTGCAACAAAGTGAAAGTCGAAAACTGGAAAATCACGATGCGTAGGGGCACCAAAGGAAGGAAGCGCATCTTCCAATTCGTGTGCTGAAAAGCAACAAGTTACAACACAGGTGCCCGAAGTTGACAAGGAACCAGAGTAGGAAGTCAGGGTAGGAAGCCAAACTGCTTCAAAGCGCCAAATCAAGGGTTGAAAGCTTTGCAAACGCCAATTGGCGCGGCAGCAAGTCAAGGAGCAGCTTGACCTACTCACCCTGCCAACGGACGGATATCTCCGAAGCAGCCGAGGAACCCTTCGATTCCATCTCCATCAACAACTACCATCGGTGGCTTGCAGCCCTTGATCGCTTCCTCGGCCTCGGCCTTCCTATCTAAGCGTGAGGTTGTGACGTAAAACACCCTGAGATTAGGGGCTTCAGAGCCTTTCGAGATGTTCGCATGTTGTTTCAAGACTGTTTCTACAGCGTTTTTCTTTCCTGTTCTCTTGACGCTGAAAACGTTCAAGGAGGGATCCCCTGTCTCTCCTAACTGCCTAGTAACATGTACATCGGCTGCTGTACAATCCTTTCCCGTACCATACGGGTCCATTCGATAGACACTATGTACATCGAGGTAGGACTTCTCAACCGACTCATTCTTGTCATAGGGTTTGACACGAACCAACCCGCCTGCGGGCACTTGCCAAACGAAGGCATTGTCGATCAGCGGGTCGCTTGCATACTGATAGACGGAGAGTGGCCGTACTTCGACGATCTGCATCCAGAAGCCTTCGAGTCAGATGTGACTTGCATCCGGAACCGATACCTCGCCATACTTGCAATCACAAGGTCACGGCACCACATGAGCATTAGGTTTGGTGACAAAACCCAACGCTTGTCCTCCTACCAACGTCTACTTTCCTTATATGATTTTCCGTCAGAATCAACGAATCAGCTTGCTGAAAGAAGCTCAAGGATTTTGGCACTTGAATCAGATGGCAAAGCGAATGAGATACTCAACATCCATAAGCTCCACGGTTCCTACGAGTCGACCATCTTTTGACAGCCCAACAAAACGTTCTAAGCTTTTTCAAAGAAAAACAACATGAAGCACAATGGTATGATTCTCAGTGTGCCGAGACAAGCCCAGCGTACCTCCTCTAACGTTGCACCTGCAGCAATGGCTGTCGGGTACAGGTCCCCCAAGCGTCTCCGCACGCTCTCTGGTGCCGCTGGTGCGCCCGTTCGCACTCTTTCTAGTTCGAGAACAAGCCAAGCGAGCACCGCTTCTCTTGCCGCCACCATCTCTTCTAAGCGTGTGCCTTCTAGAGCGCCAGCGGACCCTAGATCCCAAAGAAGGCCTAAGCCCGGGACGCCGTTGAGCTTGCCCCGTCTCTTGAGCTCTTGGATGACGAGTTGAACTAAGTAGTAGGGCATGGTAAGCCGCCGAGCTGCTTCCTCTTTCTTGACTTGCAGAGTCCCCAGCTTACTTGTGGCCCCCGACTCTACTTCCTTTACTATTCTATGAACGAGCAGTCGTTTCTTTGCCTCGGCTGCTTCCATTAGGTAAGGCATAGTAAGCTCCAAAATCTGCTCTAACCTCAGATCGGGGTCGCGGCTCACTAGCATTGAGGTGTCCTCTACTGGGTGAGCTACTAAGACCATGCTCACAAGGACTTGTGCCATAGTTGCACAATACGTCAGTTTTCGAATTATCATACGCGTATTGTGCCGTATTGGTTCCAAAGATAATGATACGGCGGAAATACGGCTTAAATGCGTCAAAAATACAAAAACAGCGATTTTCAAGTTTTTTCTTGGAAAAATAATTGTAAAAGCCTCTAAAATAGCTTGTTTGACGTGACCAGGAGTTGCACGGCCTTGCAACTACCTTAACAAGCTTAATAACCAATAAACGCAAGTTGGTTAACCAGGAAAATGAATCAAAAAGAGGAAAAAGCCAAAAAGCATGCGACGCATTTTTGAGGTATTTTAAATGGCCAATTCTTTAATACGTCAAAATTCGCGTATTTCCCTTCGCCGTAATGATACGCGTATCACGTATCGTGCAACCATGACTTGTGCGACATTCGCCCCCCCCCAATGCTTGATCAGATCGTGACCCTTGAACCAGATTGCAACCTCGTCTTCTACTAAGGGCTCCAGATTTGAGGCGAGCTTGGCGTAGATTCCAGGGGCTGCGTTTTCCGGAAGCCGGTCCAAGAAGGCAGGCCTTGCGGCGGCTCTTGCCACCGCCATGAGATAGCGGGGGACGCCCCCTGCTTTCGCAAGAAGGACGCTCATCGGACCACTGTACACGAACTCGACGATGTGGTCGGCTGCCGAAGGGTACTTGAGAAGCAACACGCTTTCGACGAATGCGGCTGACAGCTCCCCGTCGTCCCGCAGCTCGAAGAGGTCGTGCATGTTGGCCGCTTCATACTCGGTGAGCTGGAAGGCCCGTTGCAACTTGTGCAGATTGGTGCCCATGGGGATGAACAACAGAGCTGCATTCAAAAGAACAACAGAGACGTTCAAAATCTTTGTAACATGACTGTCTGCAAATCTGAAAGCCCCAACGAAGGCACCAGCATACGCACTCGCAATTCACAACCAAGCTTAAACACTGTGAGAATCCAGTGCGATTCGATGGAAGGAAAAGTCCATATTACAGAGCCCGTGCTGTCTTATCATCTGAGGCGTGCTTAGCAAACACTAAAGACAATGAGCGAATGACGGTCTTGAAGGCAGCCGCCGGACCAGCGGCTGACCTGTTGAGATCGAACCAACTACGAAATGGCAAAATGCTCCTGTTACATGTGCGATTGAACAACTTTGGAAAGTAGAATTCAAAAGTTGGTTGTTGAATTCCCCGGTGTTTGATTGGCAAATGACTGATTAGCAACTGTGGAAACACGTCTTACCATGCTGGTCCTTGCCGGAGTGGAGGGATTTGTATTCGCAAACAACCCGCAGGATGGTCTTAAGCGCTGCCTCCGCTTCAATATTGCACAGCCTCGCAAGTTTGCTTGCTCCCAGCAGAATCTCGTCCATGACCACGATGCTTGCAAACATCGACTGCTCGGAAAGGCGCGCTTGCTCCCGCCCCAGTCTCAGCTGCAGCTGCCACACGGCTCTGATGGTAAAATATCTCTCAAGCCTCTGCAAGCACCCGAGAAAGAATCAAACTCGTGCCCTGATCAACCAACTCGCGAGTCAAAGCAAGCCAGACAGCGAAACTGCTACGATCTTGTACTACGACCCTGTACTACGACCTTGTACCACAACCTTCCACTAGAAGCGAGACAAACTCACTGACAATCCTGCTTGAAGAGGAGCGTCCGGCAGATGCCCTGTCGCATGAACATACGAGATTGTCTTCCTAAAACTCCAACAAGAGTGCCATAGCATCTGCCAGTAATATCCAACGAGAATGAATAAACATTGCCAGAATCATCTCAGTGTTGTCCGAATCCGACAAATCATGCTACAGACCGTCGTTGTAAAGAGCATAATCTCACCTTGGTTGTAATTACTGTACGCAGTTGCGCTGCCGTAAGGTTGAAGAAGAGAGAAGCATACAGGCGGAGCCCAATCGCCCGATCTGCTGCCTTGGCATCGAAGCGCCCAGCATCGCAGTCAACGAGAGTGAAGTCGCCCCCAATGTCATTAAACTCCATGTACGCGTACTTGACTCGACCTGCAGGGATCGCAAGTGGTTAATCATCAAGGAAAAGAGACAACGCCACCAGGCACGCAATGGTCGCACTCGAAGAGGCAGCTGTGAATACCCTCTGCTAAAGGAGAGTTTCTTGACAGACCAACGTCGTAGAGCTGCTTAACATAAGGTTGCCCGTCGACCGAATATCTACCACCCCCCACTTTTATGTTGTCAGACCACGTGGTTCAGTAAATCCTGGTTTCGGCAGTGGCTTGGAGCAAACCCTCCACATCTGTGCGCCCTATATCTTCCAATTGTGCACCAGAATGCTCAATCCAAAG